TCTATAAGTGCATTAAAACTCGAAGCAGTTACCAACCGAGATTACTGGTGGGATGTCTCCTTATACACTTTCCAGGTTTTTGACGCCGTGAACTTCTAATTCGTTAAACTGCGTTCAACGATCGAGCATCAATCTTCGTCCTCGTTTTCGCTCTTCGCTCCACTTCGTCGCGTTCGCCCTCCCACCCTGGGATGGGAATCCACGAGATGGATGGAAGAACGAGATCCACGGAAAATCAACGTGCAAATGAGACGTCGTTTTGCATTACCAATTGAAACGCACGATACCCGATAACGACGCGCCAGCCGCTAAAGTAAAGAATACATCGCCAGCATTAACGCGAATTTGCATTTCATTTTCGCAGAAAGTTGGCTCGCCGAGCTTCCCCACCGAGTTGAAAATCACGGCAAACACACACGGAGTTGTGCCTTCGGTCAGCGGGTCGGCTTCCTGATTGATCATCGTTGTACAATCATTTCACCTGGACATGCGCTTCATACACGGCTAAAGGATTGCTTGCATATCGATGAGGTTGTAAAATGACCAGTGGCATGGTCAGCGCTTCGAATTACCGATGTGTAGTATGCAGACTGCTGTATGCGAAGTCGGGCAAGAGAGAAATAGGGAGCAGCAGACACAGACGTATAATTGATTCGCGTTCGGTTGAAAGTGTCCTGGCGGATCTAACGCGACTACCATCGATCGTACACCGATCTTCAGCCGGAATTAGGAACGTAGGAGTCCTTTGTGCGCCTGTAAACGTTGATATCTGTCCTGTTATAGTAACGTGATTCGGCTTCGAGTCACGAGTTCCTCGGCAAAGCTGAAACTTCCGAACGTACGTTGTGTACGTTGCTCGTTACACGCTGTAATATAGGTTACACGAGATAGCTCGATTAACCAGTTAACGTTTTAAATCGATAGGCTTTCCATTTGACTGTTTAACTGATATAGTAAAACACTCTAGATGGCAGCTTGTAATTCGGAAAATATTCCAGGATATTCGCGATGTTGGTGAAATCGAAGTATCCTGGACGACAAAGTATAACCCGTGTCTATCGTCGAAGAAGGTACGAGTCGGAAAACGGTGCCAGGCTATGACGAGACGGCTCGGATAGATTAGAGTCATCTTTCTGGAATAATGACGTCCAGATCTGCTAGCTGTTGGTATATACACGATATTAACGATTCAAATTTAGCACGCCCGAATGCTGGCTGCTGATTGCAGGCCGGCTCTGATTCCCGCCACCTTAAAATCGGGTCAATCGGAAATCGGGAAAGGAAAAACTCGAAGGAGAAGCTGAAGAAAAAAAAAAAA